AACTTAAAAAAATCAATGAAATTAAAGTAAAGTAAAGAAAAAAATAAATAATTATTTTAAAAAGAATAGAATATTCTAAGTAACTCAAATAAACTATTTTTCTAAACACTTTTAAATAACATCCTCTATAGCCTATAAATTGCATGGTTTTTATAAAAACTACTAAAATCCTTCTTATTTTAATTTTTATACAAAATCATCTGATGAATATCCACTTTAACACACTATAGGTATATTTGAGTTAATTTTTTTTATAATTTTTAATAATTCAACTCCATTAATATCTGGCATATCATAATCTATAATAATAACATCGAATTTATTTGAAAATTATTGAATAATTTCGATTGCTTTTTCCGGTTTATTTTCAGTGGAGATTTTTATATATTTATGTTTTTGGAAAATGTTTTCGAATTATTTTAATATAAATAAATTATCATCAACTACAAGTATATTTTGGAAAATAGTTTTCCTTTTATTTGACGAATCTTCCAAATTTTATAAATTCTTCATTTTTTATATAGAAATATTTCCTTTTCCATTTACACATTACCTTTTTAAACCTATAGAGTTTATTTAAATAGCCACCTAACTCTAAGAATCCCTTTTAAACGCGAAAAATCCCTCACAGGGCATATAAAATATAAACGTCGAACCTTAATTTTCTATAGAATAACATAATATATCACCTTTGACATTCCTAGCTATATTTCTACAAGAATAAAGCCCAACACCAGAACCCCCGTATTATTTCTATATATCTTAATTAGCCTATTGATATAATTAAAATAACTAGCTTTATTCAATTTGATTCATGCCTTTTCCAGTATCAATTACTTCAAATTTAATAAACCCTTTTTTAACTTCGTATTTTTTATTATTCTATTATTAAAATATTTGATTCCTAATAGATGGATTAACCAAAAAAGATTTTTTTGAATAAATTAAACAATATTATGGTTCTTTTTTAATACTTAAACTACTTTATATATTTGTTAAAGGAGAATTAGAATTAGACTATTATTTTAAAAAAATAAAATTATAAGTATATATAAATACAAATATATGTAAATAGATATTAATATATATATATATATATATATATATATATATATATATATATATATATATATATATATATACTTTTGCTTCATATTAGTTTTCATTTATTTACGGTGTCAAATATATATTACTTTATTCTTTTTTTCTATTTATTTATTATAAATAATTTATTCCTTTTTAAATTGGAGAAATATAATTCTTTGTATTATTTATGAACGAATTTTTACAATCTCTTACAATATTATCCTCATCTGTTTCAAAAATTTCTGTATTATTCTCTGTCTACATTGAATATTTAAACTTATCGAATTAAAAAGTCGCTTTTTAAGCATTTTACAAAGCTTATTTATCTTCGTTTTCATCCAAAAAACTCAGAACGAGTTTTATTGATCCTTTTTCGGTAAATTTAGTCGCATTTGATAAAAGATTTTATAATATTTATGTTGTTTAATTTTTTGGTATATTAATAAAAGGAGGAATATTTTTCTATGCAATTATTTAATAATCAACATTTGGCTTCTCTAGAGCTTTAGAGTAATTGTTTGTCCATATTTTTTCCAAAAAAACATTCATATCTACTTATTCGAATGTATATTATGGTATGATTTCCTTATTATGTATTATATTTTAGAATGTTTATAATGCTTAATTTATTAAATTATTTATTTAGTTTAAGCTTTCGATTATATTTATATAAAAATTGTTAGAGTATTACATTAAATTAGATTTTTGAATTTCTATATGGGATATTATTAATTATAAAGGATTTCTTAAATCATGAATTAATTAAGGAATATATTTTAATAATTTATTTGAAACCGGAGACTTAGGTTTTTGAATATTCATTTATTATTCTTGTATTTTTTGTATTTTAATATAAACTTCAAAGTATTAATTTTTATTAAATAATATTAACAATAAAATTTTATATATATATATTTTTTTTATTTATAATATACGTATATATATATTGATTGTAATAATAATTTATTTTATATATATAAATTATTATTTTTTATATATTAATTTAAGTAAAAAATATAAATATAATTATTATTAAATTTTGTTTATAAACATATTTTATATAATAAAAATTTATCAATATATTTTAAAAAATATTATATATGTTTTTATTAAATAAATAAATTATATGAAATCTTTATAAATTTAATATATAAATTTTAATTTTATTTAATTATAATTTATATTCATCATTATATATGTAATTTAACTTTATACTTAATATATTACTTTTAGCGTCAAATTAATTACAACATTAAAATCAAATAAAAATCTTTAATTAAATGAATTATTTTTTTATTTTTAATATAAAATTAGAATAGATATTATAAAGACATCGTATATCAATATAGTATTAAATAACTAATATAATATTTATTATAAATAAAATATAATTCTTTTTTTATTTATAATATAATTTTGTATATTATTAATATTAAAATAAATTTATATTTTTATATTAATTTTAAATAATAATAATATTTTTATTTTTTTTTTAAAAACGGCATAAACAACTTATATAATATATATTATTACCTATTTTTATTTTTTCTTCAGTTTATAAAAAAAAAAATTATGATAAACAAAAAAATTAAAGATATATAAATAAATAAAAAATTTAAGATTTAAAAACGAAAAAATATAATTTATTATTTATAAAATAAAAAATTTAATTATATTAAAAAAATATTAAAAATTTATATAATGAAAACTCTAAATAAAAAAATTAAAAAAAATGTTTAACTTTAACTAAAAAATAAGATATAAAACTAAATTATTTAAATGTAAGATAAAAATACTAATATAATTAAAAAATAAAAAAATATAAAAATAGCTATATGATACTAAACCACTTTATTACATTTGGGATTACCTTAAATATATTAAATAAAATTTTTATTTTAAATTAAAATAAATAATTAAAATAAATTAAAAGTTAAAGGTATATTTTTATATATATTTATTTGAATAAATTAAATTAAATATATATATATATATTTATATATTTATATATTTATATATATATATATTTATATTTTAATATATTTTTATGCATAATTTTTTAAAATATAAATCAATAAGAATATACTTGTATTTTTTTATTTAAATAAATTTGAAATCATGCTTTTAATATTATAAATATAATAATTTTTATAATTAACTATTAATTAATTTTTTTTTATCAAATTTTTTTCATATATAATAATTTAATGCTTTTAAAAAAATTCAAGAAAATTTGATATATTATTAATATAAAATATAATATAAATAATATATTAAAAAATAAATATTTTTATAAATCAAAATATATATATTTAATATATATATATATATATATATATATATTTATATTTATATATTTATTTTTTATTTTAAAAATATTAAAATTCTAATTAAATTAAAATAATTTATTTTTTTAAAAAAACTTTATTTGTTAAATTATATTTTTTTAAAATTATATAAAAAATTAATTTTAAATATTTTTCAATATAAATAAAAAAATGTCAGAAGATATAATAAATACTTATTTATTCGTATCAAATCCACATGAAAAAAAAAAGCAAATAAAACATTGTAAATGCTGTCCATTTAGCATTGAATAAAAACGTAAACGATTAATGCGAAATTTATAAAATAAAGTTTTTTTAGAAGACGACATCGAAACATATTTTCAACTTCAATAAAAATGCCAAAATAATTTATTATTAAAGTGCATAAATAATTTATTTGATTCCTAGTCTATATGGTAAAAATCTTCGCATTTTGAATAAATATCTGAAGAATAAGACGAGTCTAATTTCCTATTTTTATAAAGCGATAAAAAAAACTAAGAAAAAATAAAAAAACGCCCAATTAAAAATTTAGGTCATTTCCATAGTTGGAGTTGCCCATTTTCAGTTCCATATTTTAAACCTTAGAATAGTATATATTAAAATAAACAGGAAAATATGCAAAACATAAGAATTATGACAATTCATGAAGAAGAACCATACCATAATTATGTAGAAACAAATAATAATTATTAATGTAATAGTAATAGTAGTGCAAGAAATAAATATAGGTAAAATTATGTATTAAATAGTAAATAATAAATAAACAATTAATAAAATAATAATGTATAAACGAATAATTAATAACCGAATAATTAATAAAATAATAATTTATAATCAAATAATAATAATAATAACAATAACAATAACAATAACAATAACAATAACAATAGCAATAACAATAACAATAACAATAACAATAACAATAACAATAACAATAGCAATAACAATAACAATAACAATAACAATAACAATAACAATAACAATAACAATAACAATAACAATAACAATAACAATAATAATAATAATAATAATAATAATAACAATAACAATAACAATAACAATAACAATAACAATAACAATAACAATAACAATAACAATAACAATAACAATAATAATAATAATAATAATAATAATAATAATAATAATAATAATAATAATAATAATAATATTGTTGACGAAGTTCAATCTAATTCCAATAAAAATAAATTAAGCGAAATAAATTAATTTATATTTTAATCTTCCTCAAACGAAGGAAATGTTGTTATATAAAATTACAGTTTTAAATATGAAGATATTTCTTCAAATATGTAAAATTAATAAAAAAAAAAAATATCATTTCCATAATTAAATTCATATAATAACTCCCCTTTAAAAAACTAAAACACTTAATAAGTTTTAGAAGAATTATCAAACGATAATGTTTCCGAAAATGATGATTAAGGCTTTATTTCTTTCCGAAAAGAAAACAGTGTTTCATAAAATAGCCAAGAAGAGGAAGAAGAAAACTATAATAAACCCTATTTAGAAGAAATTAATAATCGAGTAAAAAATTATTATATAATAGAAGCTTTAAGAATACAATTAATGTCAGAAAAAGCTGATATATTTGCCGAAATATAAGAACATATATAATAAAACCAAGAAATAAACTTCATTATGGTCATGAAAGAAAACGAACTGGAATAAACCGTAAATAAAAAAAGAAACTTGTAAAATAAAAATAAATACGCATTTTATTTTTTGTTTAATATTTAAAAAGGGCATAAAAACTACAAAAATTAAAAAAAAAAAAAATTATAAAATATATATATATATATATATTTATAAATAAAGATACTTATTGGAATATTTTAAGAAGAAAATAAAATATATGCTAAATAAAGTTTTATAATAGAAAGTCAATTTGCATTTTCTACTATCAAATTAAAAGATGTCCAAGTATTTCTTTCAATAGATAAAGATTTCTAATTTTATGTAGATGAAGAACTTTAAAACCGAGAATCCTTTATTGGAGTTGAAGGAGTTATTATTAAATGAAGAAAAATAAAAAAAAAATAAAAAAAAAAATATATATATATATATATATATATATATATGCTTTATTGTATGTATTTTTCATTTTTATATATATATTTTTTTTAATATTTAATTAAAGTTTATTCTTCCTTCTTATTCCTTTTTATCAATTTTTCTTTATTTATTTTCAATTATATTAAATTATGTGTTTTCGTTTATATTTAAAAATTATTGGATTTATTTAGGTATTTTTTCATCTTTCTTTATTTTATTTTTCTCGTCTTTTTTTATGCTTTTTCATCTTTTTTTTAGCTATATTACTCTTTTATTTAGATTCTTAGAACTTTATTTAACTTATTTTATATAGAAAAGTTTAATAAAAATGCAAGAAAATCAAGAGAAGAAGCTTTTTTTATTAAATTTGTTAATTTTATTGTAATATATTCTTAATTTATATCTTCTTTAAACATATTATAATCATTAACAAGACTATATTAGTATTTTTTCTTATAATTAAATCCATTAGGAACTGTTTTATGTAAAAATAAATGTTCATACATCATTTTTAAACATATAATTTTACAGAAAAATTAAATATAATGAAAAAAAGGCTATTTTTATATATATTTTTTTATTTAAAAAAAAAAAAAAAAAAAAAAATAACTTTTGGAATATTTAATATTTAGAATTTAAATTATGAATTTTCTATATTTTTTTAATTTTCATTTTCATTTATTATATAATTTTCCTCAATTATTTCAGAAATCAAAATATTTTTATTTAAAAGATTATTTGGAATCGTTTCTAATGAAAATGTTATAAAATCTTCAATAAAATTTTAAAACTGAGTCACTTTTATCCTATTTTTTTGGTATATTTTTTAATATTTTTTATTTATTTTTACATTTAAGGCTATATTGTCCCAAAAACATTAAATAAATTTACATTTTTTATTAAAATATATTATTTTAATGATATTTTATAGAATTCTTCTTATTAAAACATTTTTTTTTTTATTTTATTTTATTTTATTTTATTTTTTTTTAGATATTTTTTATTTATTTTTTTATTAAACATCAATTTTTTTTTGAAAATTTTGTGTTTTGGCTAACAAATTTTATTTTTGGCAATAATTAATATTTTTTTTTCAATAAAATACAAAAAAATTAATCAATTACTTTAAAAATTCACTTAAATTTTTACTTTCTCTTTTTTATTTATAATTTTTTTTTAAAAAAAAAGGTCAATTCAACCATTCACAGCTTTCAATTAACAAAAAATAAATAAAAAATTATTAAATTTTAATTAAAAATTAATAGCAAAGTGGAAATACATATAGGCATTTGAATTGTTTTAACTAAAACTTTATGTCCATTTTGAGATTCGAGAAGTATTTATTAATAAAAAAGTATATAATATATATAATATATATAATATATATACAATATATATATTATATACTATTAATATTATATATAAAGGTTATACAATTAATTATTATTATTCTTTTTGTCTTATATTGTGGAACGAAAAAAGTAATATATTATTTTTATATTTAATAATGATGATTTTAAAGAATCATATATATATATATATATATAATATTTATATATATATATATATATATATATATATATATTTATATATATATATATTTATATTATTTAATTATAAATTTTTTTTTATGATTAATTATATGTATAAAAATACATGTTTATATAAAATATTTTTTATTATATTTTTTTTTTTATATAAAATATTAAATATTTCTTTATATTTTAAAATAACGAAACACATATTTTTTTTGTTTTATAAATTGAATATTTTTTTATTATTTTTTTTAAATTAGTTTAATTTTCTACTTTATAATTAAAAAAAATCTATTTAAAAGAAAAAAAATAATATTATCTTTTTTTATATAAAAATAATATTTTTTTACATTAAAACATATAATTAAACAAAAATAATTTTAAAAAAAATAAATAATAAAAAATGCATTAACAAAAAATAGAAGAAGAAGAAGAGGAAAAACAAGTTTAATTAAATCCTTTAAAAGCCGATTTAATATTAAATCTTTTAGACTAATAATAATAATAATAAAAAGGAAAGTTATATTTAGGTGGAATAGAAGCTGCAAAAGACATCGAATTTTTAACTTCTCATTAAATTCATGCCATATTAACAATAGCCGATAATATAAATATAGAATATAATGAATAAATAAAAATTCATAAAATAATAAAGGCATTAGATTGTACAACATATAATATTATGTAACATTTAGAGGAATGTTTTACATTTTTAAATGAAAATCTATAAAATACAAATGTACTAATTCATTGTCATTAGGGAGTTTCTAGAAGTCCGACTATAGTAATTGCTTATTTAATGAAAATTTAAAATAAAAGACTTTCTTAAGCTTTAATGGAAGTTAAAAAGCATAGAGCTAATGTATAACCAAACGGATATTTTATGTTTTTATTAGGAAAATATGACCATTAATTATTAATTTAACATTAAAAAAATAAAATTTGAAAAGAAAGAAAAAAAAAAAAAAGAGAACTATTGTATGTATTTTTTTTATATATATATAAACTTAATATTGTTTCATTATTTTTTGTTATTTTTTCTATTTTTTAATATAAGTTTTAATTATACTTTTATATTAGCATAAAATCAACGTTAAAAATTTCGATTTATATTATAAAAACTAATTTTTAAAAAAGGAGAAATTAAATATATATATAATATTTTTATATATCTAACTGTTTTTAAAAAAGGAAATAGAAAATATTATTAAATTGTATAGTGCTATAAGTTCTAGTTAATTTTTTATCGAATAATATTTTAAATAATAGTTAATTTTATGGAATTATTAATAAATGATTTAATTGTTAATTTTTAATTAAAAATATAAAGAAGTTTTAATTATATTTTATTTAAGATTTAAAATTATTAAAATGTTTTTTTTTTTATAAAAAAAAAAAGAATAATTAGAATTTTAAACAAAAAATTAAGTTTTTTCTTTTCTTTTTATTTAATTTTTGGTTTTAAATTTTATATGATACTTTATTTTCGATTTTATTGCATTTTATTTAGTTATATTAAATTATATCATGCTTTTATGTTTTTTATTATTTTTTATTTAATTTAAAGAATAAACTAATTCAAAATCAAATTAACAATTAAATATAAATTATGGTTTTTGTCTTTTAAATTAAATGTTTTTTATCATTTCTTAATTAAAATATGAGAAAAGTCGAACCTAAAATTAAAGTCATTAATAAATAATTATTAAAAGATTTATAATGTAATCAAAATTTATGTTAAATGAAATAAAATTAAAAATAAATAAATTAATTTTATTTTATTAAAGAACAATAAGAATATCAAAAAAACTAAATAAAAGAAAATTGTCAAAATGTAAAATAAGGAAAATAAAAAAAATTAAAAAGATTATTGATTATATTTACTCCTTCAAAAAAAAAATTAATTTAAAAAGATTTAATATATAAAATAAAATAATAATAATTATCAATTAAAATATTATAAAATAAAATAAAATATAAAAAACTATTTATAAAAAAGAAAAAAAAAAAAAAAATTAATAAAAAAAAAGATATATATTATAAGAATAAAAAATATGTAAAAATGATAAAATATAAATAAAAAAATAATAATAATAAAGTTATTAAATAGAGTATATTGAAAAATAAAAAAATTGTATGAAAAAAAAAATTAATATATTTATAGTTAAAAGATAATATAATAACAAATAAAAAAATAAAATAAAAAATGAATAACAACAATAATTGTAAATAAAAAAAAAAAATAAAACAAAAAAATTAAAAAAAAACAAAATAAAATAAAATAATAATAATAATAATAATAATAATAATATTAATAATAATAATAATAATAATAATATTTTTTTATTTTATTTTTATTATATTTATTTAATTTTTTTTTAATATTAATATAATTTTTTTTTTTCATAATAATATTTCTAATTTAATTATATTTTATCTATTATTTATTAATAATTTTTTCAAATATAAACAAAATACTAATTATTTATTTATAATTATTATATTTTAATTTATTCTTAAATTTATTAATTTTTAAAATCTATTAATTTTAATACTTTAAAAATATTTTTATTAATAAAAATAATTTCATATTAAATAATTTGATAATAAATTTTTATATAAAATATATATTTAAAACTTTTATATTAATTTATTATTTAATCTAAATTTACTTACTATATATTATTATTTAATTAAAAATAACATAGTAAAAAAAATATTAAAATATTTTAAAAATAAAAAATATTATATATAAAAATAAATAAAGTCTATATAAAAAATGAACGATATTAATGATATTCCTATAAAATAATAGGAAGATGAAAATGAATGCGAATATTCTTACAAACTAATATTAGATTTAATAAAAAACAAACAATATACACTTTTAGAACATAAGTCATGTAAAACAAGTGAAGAATCTGCATAAGTAAGAGGCGTATCATTATCTTCAGGGGCAAAAGCAATGCTTTTAAAAGATAAATTAAATAATATTTATATATTAACTGTTATGTCAGCAAGCAAAAAATTAATTTGGAAAAATTTAAGGACTATAATGGGACATAAAAAAATTGATTTAGCAAATACAGATGAAGTATTTTAATTAACAAAATGCTTAACTGGAGCTGTTCCTCCTTTTGGATCTATATGGGGTGTAAAACATACTTAGATTAAAGTTTAATAGATTAGGGCAATAGCATAAATTTTAATTGTGGATTAAGAACAAAATCTATTTGTATATAATTATAAGATTATTTAGATATTGAAAAACCGCATATTTGTTAATTTGCTGAATGATTATTATTATTTTAATAAATATTATTAAAAAACTTAATTTTTATATTTTTTATATATTAAAAAAATATAAAGTATATATAAATAAGATAATAAATAAAATGGAAAAATTTAATATTAATATATAATTAGTTAATTAAAAATTAAGAAATAAAAATGTAGTGTACAGTTTTAAAATTTTAAATAAATTATAAAAAAATATGATAATAAGTAATTTAATTTTAATTAAATAAAATAACAAATAAAGAATATAAAATATTATAAAAAATAAAATATATATAAATATATAAGAATTATATTAAAATAATATATATATATTTATATATATATTTATATTTTTTTTTATATTTATTAATTGATATAAATTTTTTCAATTCTTCATATATTATTTTTTATTTTTTTTAATATTATATTTTATATTCATTTTTTTAAAAAATTTTACAAGTTTTAATTTTTATTCTTATTTATTTATATATTTATTTTATATTTAGAAAATATTTATATAAATATTTTTTAAAAAAGTAAATAAATATTTATGTTTATTTTTATCAATTTGCTTTTAGTTGTTTTACATTATTATATTTTTAATTATTATATATTATTTGTTTTAAATAAAATATCCTATAATTTTTTTCTATTTTTAATTTATTTTATAAAATACCTGTTATACTTATAACTATAAAAATACTAATATTTTATAAATAAACATTTAATTATCCTCTATTGCTTTCAAATAGAGGATTATTCGGAATTTTTATTAATTTTAATTGAATTTATACATATTTTACCATATTTTTCTTATTAATTATATATATATATGTTTAAAATTTTTCTTTTTATTAATAAAAATAGCCTTTACTACCTAAAAATTACTAATTATTTATATATTTAATATATTAACTAATAGCTTTAATATAATTTTTTTTTTAATACTAAAAGCTATATTTTTTATTCTATTTGATTATTAAAATTACTATTTTTTCATTATTTAAATTCATAATCATCTGAGTTCTAAAAAATATTAATAAATATTAAAAATTTCATATTATTTTTAACTCAAATTTATATTTTATTTTAATTAAAACTAAATCTTATTTTTTGATATTGTAACATAATATTGACCTTTTTTATTATCTAATTATTTTTTATTTCTATATTTAAATAAATTTTGGAAATTAATATTTAATAATACTATATAAAATGTATAATTTGTTTAAGAAGTATTTACATATAATGTTATTTGTTTAACTTTTAGATGGTCTATTGAGATTTTATGAATAAAATAAAATAATTTAAATTAAATATAAAGAAAATGAAATAATATTCTATAATTTAATTTTATTATGTAATAAATATATTATATATAAAAAAAAAAATTAATAAAATTATTAATTTTATAAATTAAAAAACTGTTTTTTATTTGACAAAAAAATAAATATTTAAAGTAATTTATTTTATAAGAAAAAAAAAGACATTAATTATTTAGACTTCTAACTATTTTTCATATAATAAAAAATAAATTATTTTAATTATTAAAATAAATATTAATTTTATTTTTATTAATTTTATTTTTTATTAATAAAAATAACTAAAATTTTAATAAAAAATAAATGTCAATATAATAATAAAACAATATCATCAAAAATGCAGTAAAAATACTATCTGTAAAAAATTAAAAAAAATTAAAAAAAGTCAAAACTTCAAATGTATAATTCTAATAAAAAAATTCAAAATGGAATAACATTAAATATAAATCAAGCATATGGTTGTGCCTAAAATCCCATAAGAAAAAACATATTAATGATTGAAAACGACATATTAGTATATTAATGTGGACGTCATTTAATAGAATATGATTTAATACAAAAAAAACAATAATATATACTTCGTAATATCGAAGACACAGAAATAACAGCCATAAATTATTATATAAAATCATTAAATATATCATATGTAATAGGAATGAAAAATTAAAAAGGTGTTCCAATTGTAAAAAAAATTAAAATAAAAAAATTAAATAAAAAAAAGTTAAAAGTATTATAAAAAAAAACAAAAAAAAAACTAAAACATGCCAGTATTAATACATTTTCATGTCTAATTAAACTCAAAAATAATTGATTGTTCTATAATATCTAATTCAAAAGTAAATATATATATAAATATATATATATAAATATATATATATATATATATATATATATATTAATATATATATATATATTAATTTATCTACATATATTTATAAATATATATATAGAAAGCTGTTTCTTTAGTTTAAGAAGATTAAAAATATATAATAACTTTATATTTAATATAAAATGAAAAGCTTCTATTTACACGAGATATACTTTAGTAAGTTCGTATAATTGAACCTTATTAAAAAACGAAGAATCTTTTTAATTAATAGGCCCTGAATATTATACTATTTGGGAAATAAGTTCTGATTAAATAGAATTAAATGAAATTCCTTTTAAATATATCGATAATTTTTTCCCAGATGAAAAAATAATAGATATTTCTTTTATCCCTGATACTGATTATTTTTCTATAATAACTTCTTTTAATAGACTTCATTTTTTCTATAAAAAATAAAATTTTTAAATTATTGATTTGAAAAACAACATTTTCAATACTAAATAAAATA